CGTCTCTCTCTCTCTCTCTCTCTCTGTCATTGCTGTTGTTCGGTATCTCCAGGGTTTCAGACGCTCATTCAGTTTCTCAGTCAGGCACCTTTGTAGATTTAACAAAGAGAATCTGCATTAATTATTGCCAGATTATCTCCCCCCCCCCACACACACACACACACACATCATATTCTCTCTCTATATCTCTTTCTGTCTCTCACTGTCTTTCTCAAACACACACAGGTGCAGTATCTAGACGAAAGATACAAACTCATCTTGCCACTAGAAACTTTGGTGACACAATCATTCCTCAGTTTGTTGTACAAAACATGTTTTAAAATATTTTATGAAACGTTTCCAAAGAGAAACATTCGTATTTCAAAAGTTCCAGAGGCTGCTTAATTTTGTTTTGTCCGATTGAAATTGTGTGAACAAATATAAATGAATGCACCGTAAATATTTGTTATAATGAGTATTTAAAGACACTTCAGCACTTGTCAGACTACTTTTAGTTTCAAGAAATAAAGTTGTATTTTTTTCACGTGCTCTTGAAGGCTTTATTAAAAGGACGGATAACTGTACATTTCTAAAGTTTATATCAGACGTGAACAGGACAATGGGTGGTGCACATTTTTACTTGCAAGCAAGCTATTGTTTAGATCAGCCAATAGGTGGCAGTAAAGTAATAATCCGTCCCTCATCCTTTTGTCGTCTGGGACAGGGAAAAAAGGACTGCAGACTGTCTCACTCACCTGACATGAGTTCATCTCATTGTGCTAGACTTACCAGATGGAGATGACAAACTTTCGTAGTCCCATCGGAGAAGGTGGCAGACCATTAATAAAAAAAGGCATGTGAGAAGACAAGGTGCAGCCAGAAAAGTATGGATGCATGTGTGAATGAAGGCGATGAAAGAAAGAGGAGCAGAGTGTAAAAGAAATCAGCAGGAGCTCCTCAGAATGTTCTCGTACTCGCTGACAAACAGGAAATAAACCACCCGTGTGTTTACGCACAGATTCCTGAGCCAGAGCGATGATCTCAGCTAAAGCCTAAACAAACTTGCCCGTCAAAAATAGAGTTGGACAGAAAAAGAGAGATTTGATTTAATCAGTGTGAGCTACATGATTAAACATAGTGCAGATTAGCACTCATCTGGAGAGAGTGATGAATGAATGATGATGTATGATGGACACCTGACGCAAACCACCAAAAACAAGCCGCTCCAGCTAGTGAATTCCCATATGTTAAACTGATACAGTTATTTTCAGAGTTGTTCGATCTGTTATAGTCAGATACCTTTATTCAGACTGTCCTTCACACACACATTCTGTCTTCCACTCTGGGTGCCTTCTGGCAGGGCGTATTTTTAGTTCAGAACAGAAGTTTGGTGGGGATGAGAGGGAAAAGATGCAGACCCCCACGCTGCTGACGCAGTCTCTTAATCACCCCGACTAATTCACGCCAGCCCCCCTCCTCATATCACACACTTTATATGATCCTTCCATTCATTCTCCATGCTAAATGATTTGCATCTGATACATATTCACTAATGTACACTCAATCTGATAAGCACATTAGTGTACACTAATGCACACTGTCTGATGCACAAATTAGTGTATACGTCATTCAATGCTTTCACTTGTGTATACTCCTTCTGATGCACTCCATCCAGTGTGCTCACTAGTGTACACTTATGCATTCTGTCCAACTCACTCACCAATGTATATTCCATCTGATGCACACCATCTAATGTTCTCACAAGTGTATACTCCATTTGATAAATACTCATTAGTGTATACTCCATTTGATATATATTCAGCAGTGTACACTCCATTTGAAAATATTCACTAGTGTAAACTTAATCTGTTATATACTGAATAGTGAACACACCATCTGATGTACTTGCTAATGTATAATTAATCTGAAAGATTATCATTAGTGTACACTCAATCGGATACAAATTGATTAGTGTATACTCTAGTGATCAGAGTACACACTAGTGTATATTCCATTTGATAAATATTCACTAGTGTATTCTTCATCAAATACATATTCAGTAATGTATACTCCGTCTGATAAGCTTATTAGTGTACACTAATGCACACTAACGTTCGATGCACACATTAGTGTGTACTTCATCCAGTGCTGTCACTCACTAGTGTATATTCTGTCTGATGCACTCCATCTAATGCTCTCACTAGTGTATACTCCTTTTGATAAATATTCACTAGTGTACCCTCAGTATGATGTATATTCAGGAATGTATACTCCATCTGATTCACTAGTGTAAACTTAATCTGTTACATATTGATTAGTGAACACACCATCAGATTCAATCACTTGTATACTCCATTTGATAAATATCCACTAGTGTATACTTTATCCAATACATATTCATGAATGTATACTGCTTTTGAATATTCACTAGTGTACACTACATCTGATGTATATTCACTAGTGTACACTCCATCTGATGCAAACTCACACTAGTGTGTTACATCTGATGTATATTCACTAGTGTACACTCCATCTAATGCACTCACTAGTGTATACTCCATCTGATGCATATTCACTAGTGTGCACTCCATCTGCAATCAGTAGTGTACACTCCATCTGAAACTGTTCATTAGTGTACACCCACTCTTATACACTCACTAGCCACTGCAGGTAGTATACTGTGTTATTGGAGTATGGCCTTATTTGTCCCCAGCAACAGAATGTTATTTGTGCTTCAAACTTTATCTTTTTTTAGTCTCTCCCCACATTCTGTTCACCCCTAAATTAATAGCGCTAATGATCTTGCAGATGGAACATTTACACTTGTGCTCTATCTAAGACACCCAAGCACATGCGCTTGTACTCTCTCAGGCATGACACACGACTGATGATGCACGTCACAGCCACGCCAACACACGTCCATGCAAACAGAACCATCTGGAGAGAGCGTATGAGGAGATTATGAGATTTAGGAAACGAGAGATGAATGAATGGCGAGCTCATGAATGCCTGAATGCAAGTGATTGACACACAAGACAGCAGAACAATGCTGAACAGAAAGCCTAGAACAAACAGCACTCTGTGGGAGAATAGAGCAAGTGCGTCTTCAAAGGAGAAATTTCCAGTCAAGTTATTTTGAAAGTTTCTACGCACACATATGGACGTAGGAAAGCCCTATTTAAGACCTGTTGTTACACAGCAAACGAGATTAAATAGAGAGTACATGGAGAGTCGCCTGTTTATCCCAAGAAATTATTTCCAGTGTGTCTCCTTGTAATGGTCAGATTGTCATTTGCTATCTACATTATCATACCTTTTCATATATTTATTATTTTAGTATTTTTTTCTCTTTTATTTAATTTCTCCTAAGAAATTTATGGAAAAACATCAGAGATAAAGTTGATTCCTAAACATCAAGTCTATGACGTTAAATGTGCTATGAAAGACCTCTGATCAATACACCTTTCTTCTAAGGGTTTCAGATTACTTGGATTGCTGAAGGGCTAACTGTAAATTTAAGTTAAAACCGTAAAACCTAAAACGTTGCTACCGTATTTTTTACGGTAAATTTTACGGATTTTTTTTTTACAGTGGGTGTTGTCTAGTGACTTGTCAGGGGAGAAATTCTGAATAATAAAGAAATTACTGTATCAGTTTTTATATTAATGTTAGCTTGTGTTTATTAACTAAGTGAAATAGTCTCTTACATGCATACTGGCAGCTAACTGAATGCTCTGTTGGCGACTTAATAACTGTATTTTAGCAATTTTAACATTGGGGTGAGATTTAAAAATCGAACTGCCTCTCCATCACCATCTGCTTAGTTAATGCATAAACACACATGCTCACACACCAACAGATCAAATACTGCAAAACAAGAGATCACTCAATAAAACACTCGATAATAATGAATATTTATTTATGGTGGTTTTATTTAGTTTTTTTTAGACAAAGACAACATTTGTGTTTAACATTTCTTTCTGTCAACGTGCTAAGAGAGAAAGACTATGTGATATCTTGCACACAGAGAAAACACAGATCTCTCACCTTAAGCAGTTCTTCAGGTTGAATTAAACATTGACTTCCTGCCCTAACTTCACCTGATACTCAAAAGTACCAACTCAGATTAACTAGCACAAACCAAAGTACTTAACACGGTTTTAACAAATGAAAAACATTAGCGACGGTCTTTGTTAGTCAGTTCTTCCATTAGCTATCTGTTCATCGTATCGTTTACAGTGGCCCCAAAAATATTTGTACATTTAAACCACTCCTAAAAATTGTATTGCATTAGGAAATAAAATATCAAAGCAATCTGTTTTTAGTGAATCACTTCAACTATGCACATTTCACTTTGACAATCAGAATGTGTCCTAATACAATATCTCTATTGTTTTATAATTTTAAAACTTTTTTGTGAAATGCTCTTCTTGAAATTTGGACATTGTAGCACAATTGCCTAAATGCATTTTGGAGCAACTGTATGTGATAGTGTATCTGGTTTAGTACCCAACAATCACCAAAAAGACAAAGCCTTCCACTCTCTAATCTACTGACAGTGTCTTGTTGGAAAAGTTTGTCTAGTTTGTGTATGTTCCTATTTACATGATGATCATTGATAACTGACGTAGTCTCCTTTGTCAGCATGAGAGTTTCCTCTACATGCAGAGACATTCCCCGCCATCTTTGACATTGACCTCTAGTTTCATTTTCCACATCACTCCCTTTTTTCTCTTTGCCCTCTACTTTGTCCTGTGTTCTCTGATTTTAGAGAAGGACGTGACTTGAGGTGGTGTTGCAAAGCCTGCTGGGAGTGCATGCATGCAGTAGCCCTATCTCTGTTGTACTGTATGAATTGCACAGTGTGTGTTGTGTTTAATTTGTTGTTGTGTGCCAGTCTTGTCACCCTTTCCTGCATGGCTGCTTCTATGCAATTCTTAGCATAAGCCCGATTGCAGGAGAAAGGTAGTGAAGCATAACAGAAGAAAAAGAGGAGAAGGAAAACTCAGCCGAAGAGAAGGTGAAAAGAGAGAGTAAGTGCTGTGAGCGAGAGGAAGGACAGAAGTGAAGACGAAGAGGAAGATGGGAGAATGGGAGAGTCGTAACCTGGTGGACATTCAAGCTCGAAACAGCGGACTGAGGCTGCATCCTCATTGCCATAGTTTGCCCAGTACTCTTCAGGCTCTAGCTTGGGTAAAGCAGCCTCCTCCGCAGTGAGATCGTACTTGGATGATGAAGATGAGGGATGTTTGACAGAGGTGAATGGAGAGGCCTTCAGGGTTTCGCTGCTCTTGTGAAAGTGGCTCTTGGATGATGAGGCCGGTTTGTTCTTGGAGAACCACCAACGGGTCTTGGTGCTGAAGGTGGTGGTTGTAGTGCCAGCCAGGGATCCTGGATCAGGCAACGGGCATAGGGCAAAGTCCAGCTCTCGCAGGAACCTCAGGTCCTGGCCTTTACGAGGGGCTGGTGAAGAGCAGGTTAGGTCTGAGCTGGAGATACGAGCTTTTCGGAACCACTCCCATAGCGACCTGGCTTCACAGCCGCAGGTCCAGGGGTTGCCATTGAGCCTGAGAAACTGCACAGATGACGTATCCTTCAATGCCTGGCCTGGAAGCTCCTGCAGAGAGTTGTTGAAAAGATAGAGGATGGTCAATCTGCCCAGGTCACGGAAGGCTCGCCGATGGACTTGTCGGATGCGGTTTTCATGCAGCAACAGCCGGTCAAGATTCACCAGGCCGCGGAAGGCATTTTCAGACAGGACACGGATACGATTGCCATGCAGGAACAGGTGGGTGAGGTTGACCAGGTCGGAAAAGAGGCCATCTGGAAGGTGGCTCAGCTGGTTCTCCTGCAGGTAGAGAAACTGCAAGCTGTAGAGCTTGTGGAAGAGGTCAGCGGGCAGCTCGTTTAAGTGGCAGCGGTGCATGTGTAGACTCTGCAAGCGCTCCAGCCCCCTAAACGCACCCCCGTCCAGCCTGCGCAGTGATGGGTTGTCACTCAAATCTAGTTCCTCTAGTACACGCAGATTACTGAATGCACCTGCTTCAATCCATGTGATGTTGTTGGAATACAGCCATAGGACCTGCGGATTCAGAAAGTAAAGACAAAGGTAAATCTCTGCTTAAATCTTCACACGAAAAGATTCAGCGTGATGCTTACTTACAGATATGCTCTCACCTGTGTTTCGAAGCCAAAGGAGTCGGCTCTGAGCTCAGTGATACGGTTGTTCTGCAAGAAAACGCGCTGGGAGTCGTAGGGCACGCCGGCTGGGACAGCAGTGAAGTTCTGAGACTGACAGCTCACAGTCATGGGCATATGGTAGCATACACACAACCTGGGACATGCCTGACCCGGTGCACAGCGACATGCCAACAACCATATCACCAACCAAAGAGACAAACCACCTGTGGAGTGAGAAAGAGGTAGACTTAACATGATGTTCGTGTTCACATTTGAGAAGAAGCTGTTCCACATCCTCTTAAAGTTCTGGAGTGATGCAGACATGAAGACATTTGTTATTTATCATGCAATATAACACCTGCTATTTGAAATATCATTGCTGGGTTAAATAATATCCACATATATTCTGCTTGAAGAAAGCAGTTCTAAGAAAGACTCTGTCCAGTCAGAGACTCCCTCTGTCCATGTCCATCCAGGACAGAACAGAACAGTGCCTAAGAGTGCCTTAAACAAAAAAAGGTCGGATTAACTTCAGGTTTGTGAAACCAAACCCGATTTAATTACTGCAGCTCATGAATATTTAAGAGGGGACCTCACAGGGATCGGTGACTCTGCACAATAACATGGCGCTTAAAGACAGGCATGGCGTGAATTAATCATGCTGCGTGCATTCATGTTGCCTGCACAAGATTTTCCTATTACCTGACCCATGACCTGGTCACTCCACAACCCTTCCAGGACAAGATGTACTAATCCGCTGCACAGGACTAATGTGGAAAATTGTAGGCTACTATGTTACCTTTTTTGCATAACTGCATACCCGTTTTTGTTAACAGTAGCTTTGTAAGTTCCTCAACGTTGAGAAATTATTGATTATTCTATATTTATCCTGGTTACATCAAAGGGGCTCATAAAAAAATGATTTGTCTATTCGCATTACACTTATTGATTAATCAGAAGTGGCTGTACTGAGGTCAGAACAAACTGGGACTCCAAATGGAAAATTAAAAAATGTAACGCTACAATGTAAACATGTACAAAAATGTGTAGCTATATTATTTATGTTTATTTATACTTATCATGTATTTTTGTGATTGTATGATGTATATTTTACTAAATATATACAAAAATATAAATATGTATCAATTCATGTCTATCAAACAAAAGTAGAGATAATTATTAGCTTTTGTTTGATAGACAAAAATTTATGTTTGTTTGCATTTTGTCAAATTCAAAATATAACATTAAATATGCAATTAAATGTATTTAAGTGTACATCAATACATATCTAACATAAACATATAAGAATAACTGTTTTAGCACAATATAACCAAAAATATTTTTTTTTTATGTAAATAATGTCTATAATTGTGCCTCAAATTAAAATATGCATAATCATTAACTACTAATTACAATAAAAAGTTGGTACTTACTCTTGAAGGTAAGAGTGTTGGAGACGCGAGCGCTCCGCGCAGCCGCACGAGTTTCCATCCCAAAATCCAAACCGAGAGCGAGTTAGCCTGAGCGCGAGCTGCTATCTGCTCTAACGGTCAGCTCTGGTGATCGACTCGACTGCGACTGAGGAGCGACGCGCACCCCGGCAGCGTTTATAGTCCAGCACCGGCTGCCCACGGACGCGGGACGCAACGGAATCTCTCATACGTAACGCGCGCGAGGGCGAGCAGCACGTAGGTGGGGGGAGGAAACCGGACTGTGTGTCTGAGTGAGTGTATTGAGGGGGATGACTAAAAAACTTTAACGGTTGTTTTACATAGATGACTGTTCTTTTCTCTAGAGTCGTATTAGTAAACAGGCTAGAATACAACAACCTCATGAAATCACTGTGTAGGCTACAGATAATGTCAATGGATGAAAAAATAAATAACCTACACTTTTGACAAATAAGCTTATATATTGTACGAATACAGGTGACAAGTAAGATTATAATATAAATCATTTTGGTTATGACAGATTATTTATATTATATTATAAATACTAAAATACACTAAATATATAGAAAAGATATAGACAAAAATCAGCCATTTGTTATCATAATATGGACACTTAAAGAATCCAAATAGAATTTTATTTGAATTTTATTGATTAACATAGCTTTTATACGATTTTTCTAATCATAGTCTTTCACATGATAATGGAATTAGGTAATTATGGGTTTCTGACTAACTGTTCAGATTTTTGTCAGACTTTTATAATCTTATAATTACACATTTTAATTTTGTATTTAATATAGCGTATTGTTTTAGTACAACAGAACATGTACAGTATGGTGTGTTTTCAGTTTTTTTGAAACCATGATGATAAGTAGGCTAGCTGGAAGCATCAACTTTTGTGAAAGCTCTTCTCCCACTTGACAGCTGTCATTTAAAACCGTAAAGCCACCTAAACCGGAAGCAGCTTCAACTATTAAAGGATTTTAGGTATTTAAAAAAAAAAATTTCGTTTCATCAAATATAAAAAAAAAAATACATATTTTGAACAAAATATATTTGTGAATAAAAGTTGTGATTAAAAGTCTGCTTAAACCAGCCTTAGATGATTTGCTGTTCTATAACAGGATAAGCTGCTCTCCCAGTTGGCCAAGATGGTGTTTAGCCAGGCGATCAGCTTCTCCCAGTTTGACCACCTGAAAAGTGTCCCATTTAAAACCAACATCAGACCAGGCTGAGACACCAGCAAACCAGCTTACCCAGTGGGAAACTGATGTGAAAAGGACATCAAATTGATGTAAAAAAAGAGGTCAAATATGCAAAGTTGACGCAAAAACTTTGACATGACGTTGATTTGATGTAATGTGATTTGATTGAACGTCAAACATATTGGCCTACATATACATTAAACCAATTTCAGTGTGGGATTAACGTCCTATTTTCACCCAATTGTTACTTGAAGAAATTGCCATCCAAAATTAATTTAAAATGATGTTACAGCATCATGATCAAGTCTTGGCTAATATTTGACGTCAAATTGATATCAAGGTGCCCACTGGTTCTTTATGTACCAAGAGCTTGTAACACTCCAAAGAGAAAGGAAAAATTGAAATCGCATCATATTTAAGATGTTTTCTCACATCCCATTTTTAATATGTATTCAGTAGTCTAAGCTTTTCCTATACGTAGCGGAAGGTGAGGGTCTAAATGTAGCAGCATCACATCAGGTTGAAATGTCATTTTGCTTCCCTGTTGTAAAAAAATGAAAATGTTATGTTCTATTAAGAGACACACTATTCTTCATATCTATACTAAATTAATACACTAGATGGCAGAGTACATAATATATAGTGTAAGCACATACAGCACAGGTAAACCTCACTCTCCTGGCCTCAAGAGGCGTATTAGTGACTGCCTGCTGGTTGATGCTGGTTTGAATCCCACTTGGAGCAGTGCGATTAGGATTAGTCACATGCACAGTACATTAGTTTGGTAAGAATTTTGTGGGCATCAACAATAAAATGACATTATGAGTGTTGCCATAGGAAACAATAATTACTAAGTCTGTGGAAACAACTCTGTCCTTGTTGTTGTGAATGACAGTATTTCCTACAAGACATGAATAAAAAATTTCTAATAAGAAATAAACCATCAATATAAGAAATAAAAATTTCCAATGGGATAAATGGCACATGGAATATTAACCTTGTAAAGCCTGGCATAAAAATATTAGCCAGAAAAATTATAGCAGACTATTTATTTAAATAAAATGCATATACATATCAGTTGACACTATATCTTCCAAAAATGCCTTATTAAGATTGCATGTAAAAGATTGCGTACAACAGGTTTTTCAGCAATGTTTTGATCTTGTTGATAATTTAGAGGCTTTAGAAATTTGAGTAGGCTATCAAATATGATACTGTAGACTTACAGGCTTAAAGGAGACATATTATGCCCCTTTTTTACAATATGTAATATAAGTCTCTGGTGTCCCCAGAATGTGTCTGTGAAGTTTCAGCTCAAAATACTCTACAGATCATTTATTATATCATTTTGAAAATGCCTATTTTGAGTGGAAGCAGAAACATGCTGTTTTTCGGGCCTGTCTCTTTCATTACAGCTCGGACCTGCAAAAAACATCTGTTTTGGTTCTGATTTTCATGTTTATCGCGCTGCTCGTTTTCTCAGATGCTTGCAGAAAAAGGCTTACCAAGTTACTGGGTTAATCTTTTTCACGTTTCCTTGGTTGGTAGATGCACCGGGGACCTGATTATAGCACTTTAAACCTGGAAAAGTCAGATTTTCATGATATGTCACCTTTACATTATTCTAACAAAAAAATCTTTCAGAATTTTTAAACCCTATAGCTCCCACTGTGATTTCTTTTAAACATCAATCAATAAAATATTATTAGAATCCAATACCAGTAGGGTTCTAAATAAAAAATTCTAGCAATCAAATTTGATCCTATAACCTGAAATTTCTTCAGAATATTTTTACTCAATGGCAATGGAGAGTTTTTAGTTTCCAGAGCCACATTTTTAGTAGACAAAAAGCTGCTGCATGTGTAAATGGTTGGGTAAAAGAAGTGTTAGAAATTCATGTATGCATTTGTGTGCAAGTGTCACGTGTGTGGGCTGCACTGAGTCAGAGTTCTGTTCCCTGACCGTGACTGAGGTCAGTGTGGTCCAACTTCAGCATGATGCAGCCCATCTGTACACACGCACCTGTGTACCCATGTCATGACACACGCAAACACACACGTTTGTTTTTGTATCTTTGTGGGATTTTCTTATTGACTTATATTTTATACTGAGCTAATGCTATTTAGCTCCTAATCGTAACCCCATGTTGAACCTGTATACACACACACACACACACACACACACACACAGTCTGCTCTGCCAGAATGCGATCATGTGCATGTGCAGATATGCACACTTTACAGTTCTTGTACTCCTCCTCCTCTTTCTCTCAGTGGACTTTATGAAATATCACATGACAAACACTGAATATCATATACACACACAAGAACACACACTCATCTGTACCCACAAGCTCACTCATCACTGAGAATCAAAGGTTAGGGCAAGGTACCATGGGGGACGGGACACACAGCCTGCAGAACCATACACACAGTAGTAGGTCACTCCTCGTCATAAGTGCCCTTTGTTCTTAGTGTGCTTTGCAGAAACAACGCAGCCGAGCCTGAAGCTATGAACTGTGCACAATAATCTTAGCCCACCAGCTAACTCATCACTGCACATTCTCAGCACTACAGGGGGCCGTGGGGGAAGACACACAAACACACACACACACAAGACATACATACATGAGGCAAGATCAGACAGATGACCACACTCCCCCTCAACACTTGGGGCAGTGACACACGCTTTAAAGAGCAACAGACGGGTTTGGGGAGAGTGTGTACATGTCAGTTCATATGTGTGTCCTTTGACGGTTGCCAACCTGTACTGAACAGCTCAACTCTGAATGCTTCGTCCTAATGCCATAAACATGTTTTTCAGCTTTGTACTGTACATGTGTGCCTTCTTACAGAGGTTGACAACAAGAAAATCTTTATATAAATCTCCTAATGTATAGCATGAATTTGTGTCACAGATTTAGCTCTTAAAACTGAAGTGTGTCATTTCTGTGCCAACAGCAAAAACTTGTTTCTGTACAGGTTTCCTGCAATAAAGTACTGCAGAAATGATGTCTTTGTAGGGCAAAAGTTAGCATCACTCTGGTTCAGTCAACAAAAATAATCATAGGTTTTTCATATTTGCTAGTGGATAATAGTGAAGATAATATTCACAAATGAGCATAACTTTTATGAATTTTGAAGCCTAAATCCAGTCGTCAGAAGTAAGAATCTTTGGTTAGACTATTAACGAACTACAGTCAAATGATTTCAACGTCACCACCACTAAGCATCCTACAACTCTTTCAAAACTATTTCAAAGAGATTTAAAATGTACAAGTTGGAAAGTTTCAGTTAGAATAGTTTGCAAGAGAATGATTATAAAAAGCAGACTAGTGTGTAGATGAGTTTTCTCTATGTGATGAAAACATGAAAATATCTTGAGCTTGTGTCAACCAAACAAACAATGCTACAAAGCAGTGTTTAAACTTTTCAGGAGAATTAACCTATGAGCTTATTTACAGTTGTTAGTGTGTTGGGATAGGTGTATTTTAAGACTGAAATAGAAACTTTAAAGGTTCACTTAGTAGGTGTGTCTGAAATCGCTCCCTGTAACCTTCTATATGGATTATTTGTGGGACAGCCATTTGTAGTGGTGTCTGAAACCATTGTGGATATTATCAAGTGCAAGCATTCAATCCCAAAATGCACCTCACTAAGGAGTGTATAACAGATGTACACTGAAGGGCTATGAATTCCTGAATCTCAAGATCTCCCAGAAGATGGCATTTGCAACACTACCAGCACACTCTGTGTCCAAATCCACCTACTTGTTTTTTAAGTTAACTATATTAGGGGGGTAGTGTGGAGTATAGGGGATGATTTCGGATATAGCCAGTAAGCTTTTTAGCTTACTCTTAGCTGGCTCTTATTAATCCCAATAGTAT